CTGTTGGAGGAAAAACAAAATTAGAGAAGTGGAGTTCTGTTTTCTTTGGGGGGAGAGTTGTCGCTGAGACTCGGTGGCAGCAACTAGTGCTGAAACCTCTCTCTTTGCTCCCTCTGTGCTTTCTCAGGACTTGGGAGCGCTGTAGGGCAAATATCTTCTCTTTGAAGGCCAAGTCCTCATGACTCAGCTGTCAGGAGGTCTGAAGCAAAAATTGTAAATCTGGTTTCCCAACTGTGGCAAATGTCAGTCATTACAAGAAATTTCCCCAAAATGTTTATGTATACTGGTTTCTGCTTTTATTACAGCTTAGCTTGTGTTACTTTAATTATGTGACCGGTTAGGGTTTTGAAATAAAATGTCTCCGGTTGCTTGAGGCCACACAATGGCAAATTCACCTGTGTTTTAAGGAGGCCTCAAGGAGCGCTTTCTGGGGACTATGTGAGTCTTCACACCTCCGTTTTGGATGGGAAGCTGCAAGGTTGAATCCCCACATACTGAAGGGGAAGGAAGAGGGATTACTGGAGTTCAAAGGTCTGAAGTGTGACTGGAATCACTGGAGTTCAAAGGTCTGAAGTATTCACTCAGCAGTTTCACAATTCTCCTTGTTTGTAGTATTTTGCATATTTTCCACTTGATGTGACAACTCCCCAGACGCCTCCTCTCAGCCCCAAATGCTCAGACTTCCTTTCAACACCCTGTCTGGCTACGGCTTGCTTGTTACGTGTTTTTGCTTTTAAGTTCCCAGTCTTAGCTTTCTGCCCTCTCAAGTCCTGGTGGTCGGAGGACAAAAGTCCTAGGAAGCTTCACATGTGTGTTTTTGGCTACAGTTCTTTAGATTTAGTAGGCTGGGACTGGCTTGATTGGTACTGTTAAAGCAAACTAAATACGGCCTGAGAAGGACTCCTTACTTCTATATTTGAATCCTTGTGAATGAACTGTAACCTAGCTTAATAGTCAGATGAGACTGAAAACCTAACTTAAGAGTATTCACTGGTAACAATAGCTAAGTTTGGCCAATCCCAGCAGCCATACTTCAACCATTCATTTACTGCTGAGTGTTCAAACTGTTCAAATAAGGAATAAGGCGAGCTGAATTATGTCTGAACTATGGTTCATTGGGTTCTTGAGGAGAAGTTATGATATTTTCTTTAGATTAAAAGATTTTCTGGTATAATTTTGGAAGTTTTTCTAGATATGTTGAACACACATATTTTTGGAAATCGTTTTAAAGATGGTTTGCAGGACAGGAAAACGTGGTGTAGTAAAAAGAACTTTGGACTTTGAACTAGAAACATGGTTTGCAGTGTGAGCTCTGCCACAGGCCAGACAGTGGAAACACACATGCACACTCATTTTTTAATACAGTTTCGTTAGGGGAGGGAGATGAGACTTCCAGATGTTCATTATTCATGAGTCCCAGGTTAAGAACCTGTCAGATCTCTGTTCTTGTCTTCTATTTAAAGACATCTTTCAGTGAATTTAAATGACTATCCCCTAATTTATCTGTCTGGCAATGCCATGCAGTAGAAAGATCACTAGACCGGAAGTCTGGAGAGACTGGTTCCAGTTAAGCTTTCGTTACTGAGTCATCATATGATCTTGAGGATATCATGAAATTTGCCTTTGCCTAAATGTCATCATATGTAAATTAAAGAATATTTGTTGAAGGGCTACTATAAGTCATTGCATATTCTAGGTGCTGGAAATATAAATCTAGGTACTAAATTATATCAGAGGAGTGTCCTCTTAATGCATTTCAGGTTTGGGTTTACTGAAACAGATAACTGAATATTTTTATAGTCTTTTTTTCCCCTAATCTTCACAGTATCTGGTGTGTAGATATTGTCGTTATTGGTTTTCTTTCTTCTTCTTCCTTTTTTTTTTTTTTTTTGAGACAGGGTCTCTGTCACCGAGGTTGGAGTGCTGTGGCCCAATCTTGGCTCACTACACCCTCAATCTCCCTGGCTCAAGAGATCCTTCCTAATTTTTGCATTTTTTTGTGGGCATGGGGTTTCACCATGTTGTCCAGGCTGGTCTCAAAATCCTGAACTCAAGCAATCCTCCTGCCTCAGCCTTCCAAAGTGCTGAGATTACAGGCATGAGTGCCCGGCATCATTATCTGTTTTCATGTGAGGCAGGTGAGACTGGAGATGAAAACACAGAGAGGAATTGTATGTGGATAAGGGCAATGTGGACTCTGGAGTCAGATTTTCTGAATTCATAGTTTAGCTCTGTTGAAGATGATACATGTAACTTGAATTTAATCTCTATGTGCTTCAGTTTCTTATCTGTAAAATGGAGTATACATAATAATGAGTTCATACATGTGAAGCATAAAAAATAGTACTAAACATGTAATAAGTACTTGAATTTTAAGTATTACTTGGAAATGGGGTTTGAAGTTAAAAACAAAACAAAACAAAACAAAAACAGTAAAACTAACATTGAGCTTACTTGGTGCCATATACCTTCTAAGGGCTTTACTTCTGCTAAGTCACTTAACCCTCACAGTAGGCACTATTATTATTCCCATTTCATCAATGAAATAGGCCAAGATCATACAGCTAGATTAGTGGGTGGTGGAGCTTGGGTTGGAAGTCAAACAGTCTGACTCTGGTCTCCACTCTTAACCACGACACTGTATTGTTTCATGTTCATTTATTATACCCTTACATTCTCGAGATAATACAAATACATGTTCACATTAAAACGATTCTCTGGGATGACTCTGAGCTATTTTCCATCTTTACTTTTTGTGCTAGGTAAAGTATATATAAGATGGAAGTAAAGATTGGGGTATTTTCTGCATTATGGAATAAAATAAAATTGCTTTTGGAAGATATTTTCAACTAATGACTAAGTACCAAGTAATTGACCATACTACTACTTTCTTTTGGATGTTTTGTCTACCATTTCTTAATTGTGAACATAAATGTGTTATAAAATTATAATGACAATTATGTTGAGAAGAAACAACAACCAAAAGATAACTCACCCCTTTTACCTTAACATATCAACTGTTTTACCTTATTATCCCAGCTTTGGGTTTAATTCAGTTGTACCATATTGGTATAGTTTAAAGTTTGCATCCTACCTGTTTGCTCGGTGCTTCTGGTGCAGTACATGCTACTTTGTCACTTCTGATGTGTTTCTAGTCATAATCAGAGTAAACTCGAAAACTCAAAAGTGTGGAAAAAAATCTATTAGAACAATTTAAACATGGTCTATAAGGATCATTGAGTATATATGTAAATGATGTATAAACAAACTTGGAGGCCCGTCAGTATGGGAGTTCAGATTTATTTGCTGTGTATACTTTAACAAATTTTCTACTTGACCCAGCACTGGTTTTTCAATTCTAAAATGAGATAATTCCCAGTTCAGAGAGTAGTTTTGAGAATCAAATGACATAATATATTTAAATTGCTTATCACAGTGCCTGGCACATAGCAAATACTTAATAAAGAGAGATACCACTGTGATTATTTGTTCTAGTATTACCTTTAATAAAGGAAACTTTCTTGGCCGGGCGCGGTGGCTTACACCTGTAATCCCAGCACTTTGGGAATCCAAGGCAGGCAGATCACGAGGTCAGGAAATCGAGACCATCCTGGCTAACATGGTGAAACCCCGTCTCTACTAAAAATACAAAAAAATAGCTGGGTGTGGTGGCACACACCTGTAATCCCAGCTAC